GCACAGAGAAGCATCCCGGGCCTGGTTCTCATTTACATGTAAAGCCCCTTTACCTATTCTGGCAGTGTGAAGGAGCAGTAAAGTGCACACACATTGTCATGGATACTAATTTATTCCTATTACCCTTCCAAGGTCTGCAACTATCTGCTCCCCAATGAGTAACTAGGGAGAAGTCCCTATGTAGCTCTGCTCCGGTATTAGGTAGGCCACATATGGGTGAGTGGAAGTTCCTTACTCCCATGTTTCTTCCCCCTATACTTTCCCCAGAGTAAGAGCTATACAGAGTCTGTCCCTATATTAACTAGGATCTCCTCCCTCCCTCTTCTGTTATGCATGAGCAGGTGACTGTCGGAGAGTTACCTTAAAGCATGTTTCCAGCCTAAGTCAGTAGCTGGCACAATTGCCAGTTGTGGGTCTGGGTGGGTTGTTCTGTTTCCTCCTAATCCATTGGTCAGTTGACAGGGGCACCCTAAACCTCCAGGTATTTCCTCTCTCTTGGATAGTTTGGTTGACATGACACGGGATAGTCAGGGACAGCTAATCTGGATCTCACATTTCCAGTGCTGTGCTCAACTGCAGAGAATTTCCATAAATCAGCAAATGGGAGCTCATTCTCATGCTAACTCACAGCATATGCCCATGCCTCAGTAAAAAAACCCTCAGAATTGATTTTTCCCACTTGGGGCACGTCTATACCTACTGGAAGATTGATGCTCCAGAGGTTGATCTTCTGGCATTCAGTTTAGGAGGTCTGCTACAGACCTGCTAAATCAAACACTGAGGGCAGCTCCCTTCAGCGTCCAGTACTCCTTCTTCTGCAAGGCGTAAGGGAAGGCAATGGGATGCAATGTGGATGCCACCAAGGTTTGGCTTAAGGTAAGCCGACTCCAGCTGTGCATTTTGCATACCGTTAGCCGACCTTCCTGGTCTAGTGTAGACGAGGCCTTGATGATCCAGCAATGAAATGCTGATTGATGGTGTTTCTACCATGATATCAATAATAGTTGTGACTGGGGGAATCTGGCATCCAATAGTCATTTGATTCCAGGCCTCCACTCTGACACCAAAATGTGAACCAAATGTCTCTGAATGTTTGTATCAGGAAGCGTAGTATTGTCTAGAGTACACGCCACATTTGCTGGTAGGTGGAGGTTCAGTGGCTGAAATACAGAGGGATAGTGTAAATCCATCTACTTTGGAGCAAACTATTAAGAGGCAAATGGAATGAAATACCAAAAAACTGCTTGGGGATGTTACAAAAGTAAGTTTAAAGAGCTGTTTGAGAATGATGTGACATAATATAAGCTTATGGTTAGAATACTGCTGAGGTGGTTTGGGGCTCTGCCTGATCTCACGCGTGCTTTAAATCAGTCTGGTTCTTTTGGCTTCAGAAACATTTCTCCTGTTATGAACCAGCATAACCAAGAAGAGAATGAGGGCCATTAATTTAGGTGAAATAGGCTTTCCATGGAGAATTGACGTGCTCAGATAAAACTTGCATGCCATCTGGAATTATTATTAAGTTTAATCGTTTCCTTTGTGCTTGGGTATAGCTGACTGATGCTTTGAGGAATGGAAGGAAATATTTAACTAAGCGTATTCTTTCCTCTCTGCCTTGAATGCCATTTAGTTGTTTTTCATTTTGCATGGGGATGATTGAGCTCTTTTGTAGCCTAAAAATGTTTAAAGGAAAGTTGCCAAACTCTTCCAGACGTGGTGAATGTGTGGCCTGATCTTCGTCTTATATGGCTGTACAGCTCCAGGTTTCATGCTGTACAGGAATGGATGAAATGGTGCACACATCCTCCGGAACCATCAGTCCCGCAGAATGTAAGCATTCACAACCGGCAATTGCTCTGTACAATTGTGAACCCCCTGCCCTTTGAAGCTACTTGTACATGTGGGCTGGGAGACTCCAACTCTTGGATTAGTTCCCCACACAGTCCCTGGAAGGAAATTAAAGTGAAACGCCAAGAGCCTCTCTCAGCATTGGAAGCCACTAAAACATTTTGTGGGGGAAAAGGAATGATGGAAAAGAAGAACAGCTGCCCACACACTTTCTAAGCCAAGGAAATAGGATGGCATCCAATTGCAAGAACAAAGAGAAGGTACAAGATGATTCTCAGAGTGGCAGTCCTTGCTTAGACCACTGGCTTTTCAGATACCTTGTCATCTTATGTTATGTTCTTAAGTCTTCCTGCCTGGGGTCAGCAAAGAGAAATCTAGGGAAAGTGGCATGTGCTGAATTGCATGTGTTTTCCACTGTACGTAGTACATGCAGCAGGCAGTAAGCTGAAGGATGATGGAAAGAGGAGCCAGGCAAGCAGAGCAGATGAAAGAGATGCCTCCTGTCTTTGCAACATGAACATCATCTGTCAAAGGGTGATAAAACCAGTCTGAGAGAGACTGCACACGAATAAAAGAGGACAGGAACGCTTTACAGATCAAAAGGATGCATTCGGCAAACACGATGCCGATGTGGCACAGCGTGGCATGGTGAAAAATAGGCGATTAGCTGGAGTTAAAGAGGGAATCGATATCCAGAGCAACGCACTGGACTGTGCTGTGGGCTGCTATGATAGAGAGTCAATGAGTGCTTAATGAGGACCACGCAGGCAAGAAGACAGAACAAGTGCATCCGCCACCCAAGACAAACACAAGATGGAAACAGGAGTCTCATAGTGCAGAATAACCAGGGGAAACGGAATACATGAGGAAGAAGACAGCTTCATACTGCAGGGGCAACATAAGAGCGTTGTGCTCACCCACTCATAAATGTCAACAGGCAGCTCAGCAGTGAGCCCATTACAGTTGTCCTTCACAACGCAGCTGTGGCCCTGACAGTAACAATAAGAGAGCAGCATCTGTTGCCTTGCAAGGGAATGTGGCTGTTTTTAATCCCCTCCGCACACTGCCCCCAACCACCCTCTTGGGGAAATGTAGGAGAAGCCACACCCATGTCCATCGGTATCTTACACAGGTTTTCATGGCCTCCAGACTAATGTTTGCATTCTGCAAGGGGAACTATGCTTGATTTTGCTACCTCTACCCCAGTGTAAATGTGTTTCTAGGGGGGTGTGTCTAGACTACAGGGTTTTTCAAAAAAAAGTAGCCTTTTTTCGAAAAAAACTTCCCCTGCATCTAGACTGCTGCCACGTTCTTTCAAAAGTAAATTGAAAGAACGTGGCAGTTTTTTCGACCGCAGAAAACCTTGTTTTATGAGGAACGATGCCTTTTTTCAAAAGTGCTCTTTTGAAAAAAGGCAATATGTAATGCAAACTGAGCTTTTTCGAAAAAGAGCATCAAGACTGCCTGGGTGCTCTCGTTGGAAAAAGCGGCTTGCTTTTTCGAAAGTACTGGCTGTAGTCTAGACGCTCTTTTACGAAAGAGGCTTGCAGTCTAGACATAGCCTAGGTGTCGGAGTTATTCCGGATCTGTAAAAGGTGTATGCTTTTGATTGGATGGGTGAATTGTTGTATTGTCTCAGTGTTTCATGGCATTCACTTCTTTTATTTTGTTCAAATCATGGGTCGCCCAGCAGGCGAATTGAGACAGACTATTTAAAAGTGAACTTTTTGCTTTTTAATCTACACAATCTATCACATAGCGCCAATTTATATACAATCCTATATCTGGGAGAATGACACACTCTTCCTTCAGGCATCAGGCGTTGGTCTAATGAGTATCAATGGAGCTGGTGTGGAATGTCTAAGAGCCTGTGTTTTCTTGGCAGTGCTGATTGTCTGCCTGTGTCAATCCCTTTCACTACTCCCTTCCTTTGTCTTTCTGTCTGACCCCTCCTCCTAGCCTAACCTAACTCCACAGAAAGAGTCTAAATAACAAAAGAGAAAGAACAAAGGCTCGACACTAATATGCTCTTTGCTATCTGTGCATCGGTCAGGCTGCCAGGACGTTAATCCCTTTTCCCTAGCCTTTGTCTTTTCTGCTGACAAGGCTGTTGGGGGGTGGGATCGTGTCTTACTTTATGACTTTAGAGTGTCTATGGAGCCCTGTTCTCAATTATACATAGGTGCTACCATAATAAACATGGTAAATAACGATGAAATGGGGAAAACAACTTGAACTGTGCTACACTTGGTTATTTCATTGCTGTTTTCAGAGCACGTGTTCTGTGGTGGATTTCCCATGACATGACATTTGGGGTTTAATATTGGATAAAGGCCCTTGAAAAATTTCTCAGTACAGCCCAGCATCAGTCTGACTGCACTCTAATCAAAGTTAGTTCTGTGTGAGTGAAAATTGAGTTAGGCCAACATTGAATGCTTCTGCAAATCCGTGCCTAAAGGCTTTAGAGGAGACGATGTATTCTCTCCTTCCTCCCCCCAATACATGTAAAATTCCAGCAAATCCACAGGGCTAGTCAGGGTAGCCGTTCTGCCAGATTTTCCCCTACTGCCATGAAATCCAACATGAGAGTTGAGCAGCAAGCAATGGGAAGCCAGGCAAACACTTACAGTTGGTATCTGGGAAGTTAATGCCTGACCATTCCAGTTTTTCTGCTTCCCATGCATGGGCTGTGTTGTGGAGATGGCTGATTCCCCTCCTTGCTCTGAGGCTGGGAGGGCAAGAGGCCGTTCTGTGTGTACAGGTTGAATCTCTCTCGTCCGACATCCTCGGGACCTGACTGGTGCTGAGCCAGAGAACTTGCCGAACCACAGGCGGTCAATATTGTCTAGCAGCGTTACCAACACTTCCACTGCTTGCTGGGCTATTAGAAGGCATTTAGGGGTAAATTGGAGCTAAAGAACAGCACAGAACACTGAGAGCCAGGACTGGTGGCTGTAAACAAACGTTATGGGAAACTTGGCTACATCCATGATAAATGGACATCCAGCTGACTAAAATCATGTCAGACCATGGAAGTTGCCAGACCAGAGAGTGCCGGACTGGTGAGGTTCAACCTATAGTAGCTTCTTTATGTCTGGACTCACAATGGAATGGCTAACGACACTGTAAAACTATCTTTATTCCTCTGTAACGAGTTGTGCTCAAGCAACGGCTGTTGGGGGCCCAGGCCAGACCAGTGTCTGTCCTGCAAACACTTTAGCAGAGGAAGGACCTGTATAGAGTCTTGCAACCTTTATGATGGGTAAGACGTCAGCCTGGCTCCTTTGTTCCCCAAAAAAGGATTGTTTATGGTGACAATTCAGGAATCACAGGAAGAGATTCTGACAACCCTGCATTAGTCTGACAATAGCCCCATTGATTTCAATGGAAACACTCCATGTAGTAAGGTGCTATTTACCCAGCATGAGCCATCAGAATTTGACTTTGAGGTAGAAGTCTAGATGGATGGATTCCTATGGCACTTTAACTGTGATGTTACCTCTATATACATCCTAACATTCTCTGGCCCCTTATAATTATTTTCCCTTCTGGAACAACAATTAAGTATATATGTTCTTGAAGCCATAGTCAGTGCATGCTTCACGTTTGTCCTTCATCAGTAGCGATGTTCTTCTTTCTTACTTCCAAGCCAAGAACTTTTACAGAGCTAATTGTAGGCATTTTAGAGTTAAGCTTTGGCACTGCATGATTTAAAACTCTCATAATGCCTTGGAATAGTTTCTTGCTAAATTTGGGGGGTTTGATTTCTTTGTCTTTCTCACTCCTACACAATTCCCACTGTACTTTGCATTTCTTTAGATGTTTGTATAGTTTTCACTGGGAAGATGGAGTCCTATAGATCATGTAGGCATAGTTGTGTGAAACTGTCTTGGGACAGAAAAATAAAGATAAAGGTGTTCTATGTTACATATGCCAGAAAGTAAAGCAAAAAAGGTTGGACAGTGGAATCTCATTTCCAAGATGCTGACACAACATGCGGCCCAACATTTCTTTTATAATAAGTATCAACAAATCATAATAGATTTTAATTAGTTTTGCCCCAAGAGATGCTAATTAACAGTAAAAGCAGTATATGGTTCTTTCTGTTCTTTTTTCTTGGATGACATCTTTGATGATTATCATGATACTGTTGAATGGACTCCCTATAATCACACAAAAATCTTGCACACTTTCTTTCTTTCTTTCTTTCTTTCTTTCTTTCTTTCTTTCTTTCTTTCTTTCTTTCTTTCTTTCTTTCTTTCTTTCTTTCTTTCTTTCTTTCGTCCCTCCATCCCTCCCTCCCATCCACCCACCCACCAAGCAAGGAACTAAACTGTCAAAAGTTACATGTCACTGCAATTGTTATTTTAGCTGGCCAGATTAAAAGCTGGCTTGGATGTGTCTGCATATGCTGCTGTCACATACCGCTAGCCACACATTAGATTCCCATTGACACTAGCCCATAAGCAGAGACAATGGCATGTCAGGTATTCATTTAAGAAGAAAATATGCAAGCTTTTTTCCTTATAAGCATAAAGAAACCCAGAAAGGGAGCTTTTATGAACACACATAATCAGTGGGTAAATGACGTAACATGTATGGTTTCAATCAGGAACAATGAACAATCTTCTGTGGGGAAGTTATGAACCCTTTGGAAAACAAGATTGAAAACGAAAGTGCTGATACGTGATTACATAAAGTGACAATTATGCATCAATGGTTAATAGGTTTGAAACTGTGTCCTGTTTGATGATGATTCATCTTGCATTCTGGAAATAGATTACTGAATGTGAGCTAAGGTGATGATCCCATCAATGGGAAGAGAGATGTGGAAATCCACCTGCTGTAGTTCACCTCCACACCCAAATCCCCCGGATTCTGATGGCATTCTTATTTCTTAATACACACCTCACCTGCCAATGAGACATTTAACATTAGTCCTCATCTGGTGTCAATCAGCATAGTTCCACCAAAGTTAATGAAGCTACATTGATTTACTCCAGCTGAAGAGCTGGCCCATTAAATTCTGATCCATTTCAGGATGATTTTTCACTAATCCCTTGTCTGTCTACCTGATGTTTCTCCAGGGAATTTCGAGAGTTTGCAAATGGTTCTGTCTGTGTGGAATGTGATCCCCAGTGTGAGAAGATGGAAGAAAACATGATCACATGCTATGGACCGGTAAGCCTAACGTAAATACTCTGTAGCTGTAACCTGGTTAGTAAACTGTGCTAGCACAGGCATTTTTATAAACATCTGTTATGGTCCAGTGGGACTTTTGCCATCATTGTTCACGACCATTTCAAATATATCAGCGGTAAATGGTGACAAGGAAAAGAATTTTTCACACATCCATAGAACCTACCTTTATCACTAGTGAGGTATTGTTTGCTCCTATTCTCGGGAAGTCCTATTCCTCTCTAGGCCCACTGTCCCTGAGAAAAATTCTGTCTTCAGCAATTGCATTCTGCCAGTGCAGATTTTACCCTATTGGATAAGGAATTCCTTGTGTACATCCTTTAAGTGGTATGAAATGTTGGTACCACTTTAGTGGTTTATGGGTTTCATTAAGAAGGCTCTTTGGTGGTTGGAAATGTGAAGTGACCCATATAGAGATGGATATCGAATCTATTTTGGTGCATAGCCCTAACAACAGGCAGGACCGTCATGTGTGCGGAATACATACAATCTCCCTGCATCTTCTCCAATATATGGGAAGAGCTTATATTTTGGGCTTTTTGTGGTAACACATTAGCAGGGAGAATTTGGCTCATAATTTTTGACTCACTGATTGCAGAGTGTTCTGTAAAGAGCAACACAAGCACTCTGATCATCCTTTGATTATAATCGCAGTGGTTCACCCACTCAGGAAATTGACATCCTCCATTTCCTACCCATGTAGGATATTTGGATTTGTAACAGGCCCCTGGCGTACAGGTCAGTGACTCGGGTTCGTCATACAGAGTTTCTCTGTTGACAGCTGGAAACACTGCATACTTTTGCTCAGCTCACTGTTTGCTCGATTGCATTGGCTTTGGATGAGGTACCATGTGCCTTATCATCAAAACTAGGACACTCCTAGTTTCTTGGTCCTTCAGGGTACTTGAGTTAGAGTTTCTAACTTGAGGTCTCCATCAGTAACGATGAAAATGAAATCCCCATCTCCTGCAGGGAGAGGCGACCACTTGTTATTGCTGTGACCAGCGATCACTGGCAAAATACGGCCTGGAGATAATTCTGTGACACAAACAAGCTCATCAGGGTGCAATCAGGACGATTGTGTAGCGCCGTTTAATATTGAGCAGTGGTATAGGAAAATGTGCAGCTGAAAGGAAGCCGACGGGAGGCCCGTTGGGGAGTATGCATCAAAAGTAAATAAACCAAATCACATGTAAACACTCCAGAAGCAGCACTTGGATGGTACTGTCCATGTAGCACATATTCAGCACCGTGCCCTACAATTAACGTTCATTGGCGTCACGTAGCTAAATCCCTGTTCGTTATGAGGGAAATGTACCCCGATATCTTTGTGTGCACAGCATCCAGCCTACTCCCAGCCATTCTTGTGCAGTAACAAATGGTAAAGAAAATCTCATAGGTTGCGTTTCTCTCACGCTCTCCAGGGACCAGACCACTGCACCAAGTGCTTCCATTTTAAGGATGGCCCCAACTGTGTGGAAAAGTGTCCTGATGGTGTACAGGGGGCCAACAGCTTCATCTTCAAATTCGCTGATGAGGACCGGGAGTGCCACCCTTGCCATCCAAACTGTACCCAAGGGTAAGCTGGAGTTCTGCTTTGTTGTTTGATGTTTCTCTGAAGTAGCGGGTTTGTTTGGCTACTACTTGGCTGGGAAAAAAAGTTTGTCATTCCTGGAAGTCTGTGCATACCCAGCTATTCCATAATCTTTGACTTTAGGATACAAGACCTGGTCCTTAAGGTTTTGCAACTCATTAGAGGACTAATTAGCACTGCCTTTTTTAACTTAAAAAGGTCCTTAGTGCCGAGGTCTTGGCCCTCTCGATAGCACCTCCGGTGCAGAAAGCACCTCTAATACATGTCCCTGAAAGCTGGATGTAAATGGGCATTCTATTTAACATTTATTTGTGGAGAGGTTTTTCTCATGGTGGACATTATTACATCTCAGCATCAGTGCACTGGGTCCTGTGAATCAAGGATGCAAAGCTATTTTACACATGGGAACGGAGGCAAAGGAAGATTGAGTGACTTGTCTAAGTCACACGGCAAGTTTGTGGGACTGAACGCAAATCTCCCTCGTCCCCACATCAAGCAAAAGACCATCTGTCAGGTGGAGAAATAAAGAGGGGAGGGGCATCTGGGGCTTCTTGTTTTCAAGTTATGGAAGGTGGGTGCTAAAAGTTGCCTTCTTTGTGCTGTGCTCCTGTGCCATAGCCTGGCCCGATCCAGGTGCAAATGCTCACTTGGGCTTTTCACTAACACATCCTCTTGTGAGCTGAACCAAGACACCAGCAGTTGGAAGTGGCAGAGGCAAAATGGGAACAGTTCAAACTAACTCTGACCAAAAACACGAGGGGCAATCAAACATCTTAAAGTTTGCTGCCTCACTGTATCGTTCCTGAGGTCTGTAATACTTCAGTCACCTTCTTCTTCCAGAGAAAAAAGAGTGGGAAGTATTTTTCTACTGGTGATGGCTATTGATTATAATCAGTTTAAAAAGTTCTCACATTCATAAGAAAGGCAGTCTCCAAACCTATATCAAGAGGAATCCTGTGCCGTAATCAGCAGTGCTGTTGATTTCACAAATTGGATTATAGCCCTTTTAAGTTCTTTTTTTCTGCTGTCACCTTTTAAACTAACCCTTTTCATTGTCATTCAGCTGAATTACTTGTTCCTCCTCCTGTTTTTCAACTTGCAATATCACTTCCTGTATTTGCCAATAGAATCTGTTACCTGGTTCAGTGCCCTAAATTTTCAAAAGCAACCACAGATTGAAACTCTCCTGTCTGGCACCCTCAGGAATCTGACCAGTTCTGAACCAGAGAATTTGCTGAACCAACAGGAGGTCAATATTGTCTAGCAGCATTACCAACATATTTAGAGGTAAATTGGAGCTAAATAACAGCACAGCACACAGAGAGTTAGGACCAGTAGCAGTAAATAAACTTTTTGGGACTGTGGGAAACTTGGCCACATGCGTGATAAGTGGACCTCTGGCTAACTGAAATTATTCCAGATGATGGATGTTTCTAGACAGGAGAGTTCTAGACTAGGGAGATTTAACATGTAGTGATTTTTGGGTGCTCCAGTGTTTGGGCACCCATCTAGCGGCACATGGAAAGGAACATGATTGACAGCAAGCTCAGTAATTTTGGATTAAGATCCCTTTAAGTTTTCTCAAACTGAGTTGTTTTTGAAAATGTAGGCCATGATGTCTGGCAAGTGTCTACCAACACTCGCCAGATATCACGTATTGTGGAAACCAAGCTGTGCTAGAGGACTTGATTTTAGACACTGCTCCCAGAGCGTATGGGTTAGGAACCAAGTCACTTTCTAAGGGCAGGCCTGTTGGATGGGGCCTATGGTCAGCACATTTTAAGAGATGCCAATTTTTGGCAGCCAGAGGAAAGGCTTTGGAAAGTGGCATGAGTGCTAAGAAATCCTGTACCCAAGTAGCTCTAGTGAAAGAAGCCGTTATCATTCTGACTGGGCCACTCGCAGTCAAAATGTTCTTTTAAGCAGACAAAGGGCTATGCCCAATGCAGAGAGAAAGAGGCAGAGGAAGAAAACTTCATCCAGCGCAGCAATTGTCACAGGAGGGTTTTATTGGTTTGCAGCTAAAATTAAATCAGTAAATTATTCAATATAATGTTGATGTCAACAGCTGTTGCCATTCAAAATGAGACCTTTTGCTGGTTTTGCAAATCTAATTACAACGGAGCCATTAGGGAAATGAAAGTGAAATCGCAGAGCGACAGCCAGGATCTGCGGTAGATTCGTCTTCCTCTCAGCCCATTTAAATCAGTTGTGCGTGTAGGAGAAGAGGATAGGAAGAAACGCTATGAAGAGGAAAAGATACCCCAGGAGCAGCGTTTTCATGGATGGCTTTAATGGAGGAGGAAAATGTTTTTCAGGTCAACTCCTCCTAAGGTTTGAGTCTACATCGATGGTCTACCCTTCTCAAGGAGCAGCATTGGTGGGGGATCAGAGTGGAAATTCATGCTTCCTAACCCTAACACTTCCAATTCTGTCCCTCCCTCCCTTTCTCCCAAGGCTCATTCCTGTCTGTATATCCAACCAGTAAACCCTCCAGTAAATGCTCCAGAGAATGGAGAGGCGCACACAATGCACCTTCCAATCCCCCTCACCGGAGCAAGGATTGTTGTCTGCGAATGGGCCCCTATTTCCCCCCGTCATGGCTGGAACATGTAATACAGGCAGGAGAGAGAAAGGAATTTACTCCTGTGCAGCTGGGGAATGATTGTGACCATCTCTTTCTTAATGAGTCATAAAAAAATAACAGTTAACAAGCTATTGGGATTTTGCCAGGCCCGTAGCAACTGGACTTTGCCCTGGCTGAACGGAGCTCCTGGTGTTGTGATTTGACAATGAAAGCCTAAGCTTTCTCCTCAACCTGCAGCATCCATGCGACTAGGTCTAATTAGACAAATAAATGTGTCACGTTTTCAGGGTATGTCAGACTACAGCTGAATGGCAGACATCAGTAGCGATGGTACCCAAAAGTATGCTCCCTGAGTAATGTGAATGTAGAGGTCTGGTTGGCCTCTAAAGCAGAGAGCTTAGCTTTGGCCAGTCAAACGCTAGTTCTAGTGATAGTCTCATCCCCTTCTTATAAAAAGAGGGGCACATTCTTTGAAATTACTGAACATCTGGGTTCAGATTAACAATCTGGAAAAAATCTATGCCAGGCCCTTTGATTTAAAAAAATAACCCAGTTAACTTCACATATTCCTTTTGGGTATTTCTTTAAAAAAAAACCAACCAAACAAAAAAAAAAGCCGTTCTTCTATCATCCCAAATATACTTGTATCACTCTGCACTTTCGTTAAATGGTGATGGTCATAATGAGTGCCCCAGATGTCTGGTTTCTATATCTCGTCCGTCTTCTTGCCAGCATTGTCAGGCACTCATTGGATATTGCCTGGGGAGAGAGAAGGAATCAATTTGTCTTCCCACCTCCCTCTCATTTAGAATTCTCCAGCTTCCCTGCCTTCCTGGAAGAATGAGTATTTAAATTTCCCTTCAAGAAGAAAGGGGAAAAAAAAAGAGAAGAGATGGGATGTCGCTCTGGATATTTGGCTCACAATTGAATTGGTTCCGCAAAATCATAATCAGACTCCATCTAGCATGTCTGTTGTTTTCTGTGCTAGAGTGAGTGTGGGGAACCAATCTGACACCAACTCTAAACTACCTGTCAAGAAGTGTTATGCAGAGCACAAATCGCATGGCTCACTCTGGCAATGTTACACCTTTGAGGGCTGAGTATTTCCTTTGCTATCCAGTCTTGTCTACTCCCAGCGGTGGTCTGAGGTGGCAGGGAAAGGCAAAGGGCCCTCTTCACCTCTTCTCATAATGCACATGGACAGAACGGGTCCATCAGTACCCGCAGGCTTGCACTTTGGAGCAAGGGTTTACTACACCATCTGAGCAGGTATAAGTGAAAATCCTGTTAATAATAATAAAAGCATCCAGCCCTTTTAATTATCTTCTGCTGAACAGGAGAACTGACTAGGTGTGGCTTACCGTGGGCACCGGCAAGAACGTTGTAAAGCTTCTAGCATTTTTAGCAGTGCAGCCCCATACTGTGCATCAGCTGTCCCATGCCAAATGGGAGCAGATCTGAGGCACCCCAGATAGATATCTCCTTTAACCCATGGTAGTTCTGGAGGTGCTCCCAACCAGTATCCAAATTGGCACACTTCCATACACCTAAACAATAATATATATATATTTTAAAAGTCACTTCCTCATCCCGGAAGAGAGGAAACCTCGCCAGACGTCTCATCCTCCTGCTGAGCAGGGTTCACTTTGATAATTTTCTGTAGCAAATGTGCTAATCTTCCCCTCCATCTCTGTCCCTCTGCACCAAGAATAGGCTCAGGCATGCCTAACCCCAGCACACATTCAATCAGCATGCAACTGATCGCCGGAGGGTTGCCGTTTCCACGGCCAAAGAGAACAAATAGGCCTGGAATGTCAACCAATTCCTTGTTACTGAAGGAATGGAGGGAGGACAGCCTGCCCTTCCATCTGAGGACTCAGCTGATCTCTGATGTGGAGATGCAGGATATTACAGTGTCTAAGACCAACAGGAGTTACTACCTACTCTTCTTTTTTAATATGTGTAGTTTTCTCTATTAGTTTCCCCAATTTTGTCAATAGGAAGGTCTTGAACGTAAAGATGCATTTTTAACTGGGCAAACTCCTTTTTCTGATTTCTACAGGTTGAACTTCTCTAGCCAGGCACCCTCAGGACCTGACCAGTGCCAGACTAGAGAATTTGACAGACCACTGGGGATCAGTGTTGTCTAGCAGCATTACCAACACTTCCACTGTTTATGGAGTTCTTAGAGGACATTTAGGGGTAAATTGGAGCTGTAAAGAAACTTTATGGGATTATAGGAAACTTGGCCATACCCATGAAAAGTGGACATGAGGCAAACTAAAATCCTGCCGGACCATGGAATTTGCTGGACCAGAGAGTGCCACACTAGAGAGGTTCAACATGTACATATTTCACAAGTAGGTAGTACCCTTTAGGGTTGAATTTAGCTGAACACCCAAAAGGTCTTCTCTATCTTTGTAGGCTTTATGAGTGTACCTTGAGCAGTGCATTTGATTTATGATGGTGCCCGTTCTGTGATTCCCATCCTTCCACCCCGTTCCTGTAACTTCCTTCAGCTATCCCTGCCGCTTGTAATAGTTCCACATGCGTATCTCATGAAGGGCTGGATTCAAACCTTGAAGGTAGTTTCTTTTCCCTACTTGATTCAGCTTCCTTAGTATCTCTCCGAACATGCACTTTCCTTCGTCCAAGGAAACAGGGACTCCAGCCCAGCAACCAGATCTGTGTGGGTGGGGTTATTATGCTCTGCGTAGGCCTATTGACTTCATTGGAGCTGAGTGTAGACTCTAGGGTTCACCCATGTCGATGTGAGTGTAGGATCAGCACAGATGATGGGATTAATTGATGTCTGATTCCTCTTTTCTAGGGATGAGCAGTTTTTTAGAGATTTCATTAGCTTTGCCTGCCACTTAACTGGAAAACTAATGATTTTTCACAGATTCTGGCTGGGAAGAGCCATGCCTCCTTAACTCAAAAGAAAACTTTATATTTGCTCCTGTGGGAGCTAAGAAAAAAGGATCATTTCAAGAAAGGGCAGCTGCTGTTTTTACTTTTACATGTTACTAATCTGCTCATTTCTTTACAGAGAACCATTACCTAAAACCCTATACTGGCCACCAAGTGTATCAACTCCTTGATGGAGTGTGTATTGACAGTTACAATCACTACAAAGCTCACTAACAAACAGATGTATGTGTCAGCTAACCAATTCGTTTACAGGGAGAAGATGGAAATGAAATCACATCCAGGATCCCCAGTGTTCCCGGGAGAGGGAAAATCTGGGGATGAGTCAGTACCATGTGGGAAGTATTTCTTTTGTTATGGGTGGCCTGTAAGTGTTAAAACCAACCTGGAAACTCTGAAATTAAGGCAGTTATTTCCAGAAAAAAAAATGACTGGTGGTTTCAGACCAAAAATGGGGACGGGTTTCAGAAAAATGACTAACTAAGCTCCAGCTTCTGCTATCATTGCTCACAATGCGTAGTACCATATCCTTGGCCATGTCTACACCATGAAACTATTTTGAAATTAGTAAATTCGACTTAACTCCCGAAATTTTAACTGATGTGTCCAAGGCAGGCTCCGTTAATGTGGACCTTGGTCTCAGAGCCCCAGGAAGCACTGGGGAGTAATTAGTTTGAATTACTCTGGGTAGTAGTTATTTCGAATAGTGGGTCTGGAGCATCCACACTAATGCTATTTCAAAATAACTCTTTCAGAATTAAGTTACTCCTGATGAAAAGCTGGAGTACAGATTTCGAATTCCATGGCCCATTCTTTCGAAATAATGGGCTTGGGAGTGTGGTTATGCTGCTTATAAATTCGACCTTTGGGGAGAGTGGGTTATTTTGAAATAAAGTCCTAGTGTGGGACCAGGGCCTTGTGTTGTTACATTGAAATTAATGAGCTCACTTGGAGTGTGTGCAAGTGGTACTCCGTGCAAGAGTGGCAGAATCTGCCCACAAGAGGAAAGTCAGTGGAGACTGAGTAATCACTGGCATAAAGTTGTTTTATGTTTAACTCAAAATCAATGGCATTGCTGCTTAGACCACAGGAGAAGTGCAAATGGCCAAGACAACAGTTTCCCCAAGTTTGGGTCTTATTCTTCAGAAGCCTGAGAAAATAAATGCACCAGCAAGGTGAAATGACTCTAAGACAAAAGGCTCTTCTTTACATTAGGCTGCCAGTTATCTGAACAGATAATGGGCTCACAGGCCTCTAATTTGAAAAAAAAAAATCCTTCTTTCTATTTATAGCTGGGGTCTGAGCTCAGCAGCTTTTGATGAGCAGGAGAAGGGGTGGTCGGAACAACTTTTCAGCCTCCTTCATTACTGCGCTGGCTTTTTGGAACTGCTGAGAATGCCAGGCGGGGAAGAAGAAATGTTACAGATGTGCCCGAGGCTGGACAGAATATAAAACCTCGGAGCCCAAGACAGCTGAAATTTCAAAAGTCCTTGTTAGAGGTCTCTCTACTATGAATTGTATTTGAATCCAATCCTGGCACTAGGCAGTCTGTCTAGCTACCTGCCCATTAAGTGTATCCCTTTCATGTACAGAATGCTGCCTGAGTTCATTATTATGGCAACCTATTTTTGTTTGCCTGGCACAGCATTTGTGCAAAACTATCAGTAAACACACAAGAACTGAGATGTGGTGTTACACTGCTTTTCCTGAGGGGGGAAAAAAGTGGTCAGTGAAACTGGGTGAATTTAGTTTTTAAAGGTCGATTGATATTGAAATGAGTTATTTGAAAGGAAATAAGAGCTCCTAAGTGGTGAGAGATAGTGAAGCTGAGAGGAGACCTCCTGGGAGCCTGTTTAAACTCCCTCGAATCTGTCTCCCGTGTCGTTCTCTCAGAGCAAAATTGAAAGCTTGGGGTTTTCAGAGAGTTGGACGCCTGCTTCTCTTCAGCTCCTGTGAAAATCCCAGCTCCTGGGCCTTTAATTAAAGACCGAAGCACATGGTTTGCTATTCATGAGTGCTAAGCAACTCACAGTGCTGACTGATGGTCAGGCTGCTTATTTGAGTGCCCAGATATTGATGGAGCGGCTTGACTTTTTAGGCACCTATTTTCTGAAAATTACAGCCACTGTCTTCACGCTGTAATGGACTTTCTGCATAGGTACCCTGCTATGTGATTCACAGACCGCTCCTATAAAGGGGATAAGGAAATCCATGAAAGCTCCATAGGTAGGCAGGCAGATCCCCACATGCTTCAGTGGGTCTCCATCTAGGGACCCTCTTGTGAAAGGAACAGGCTGTTAGGTTCCCCCAAATGAGTCAGTTGCCCACAGAGGCTCTGTGCCAGTTGCTGGTCCCCCAGAACTCTTGGCAATACCGTTCTGGTAACACCGTGCTGCTCAGCCTTCCTTGTGGGGCTGTGGCAAGGAGGTACCATGCTGTGGTAAAGCATCGCTGAAGGAGCCCAGTGGATTGGGTGTGCGATGATGCCATGGAAAGTGGTGAGCTTCCTCGGCCATCGTGGCTTTCGAGAAGAAGACTGGCTGAAAAATTCAAGCTCGAATGCTGCCCCCTTCTGCTGCACAGCTTGCCTGACAGGAGGAGATGACAGGGCTGGAAATATTTCTGCAATGGCCCTGTCTGTGAGTGAGGACAGTTCACACCACAATATTAATTACGGAAAATAGCTTGCCACCTATCTCCCAGAGATCTCCAGCCATGCGAACGAGCAGCCCATGTGCTGTAATCACTGGTTTGGTGTGTAAAACAACAGCCCAAAAAAGCAACTGTATTGTTCGGCCTCCCACGGAAAGCAGGTGAAACCTGCCTCAAGTATTGTTTGAGCCGAGATGGGCCCAACCTTATGCTGCTTGTATTGTTCTCTGCTGTCTGTTTTTGTGTCACAAGCTGCAATTTCACAATGCCTTTGGTATCTTTCGAGAATTATAATTAACCATTTGGCACATGGCAGGGGGGATTCCAGTTTTGTTTTTTATCTGTCTGTAAATAATGGATTTCTCTCTCTTTCTCTCCCTGTTTTTCAATTTGGATTTGCTGCAGGTGCATAGGCCCCCGTATTGAGGACTGCGTCGGCCTGATGGATAGGTACTTGCTGAGCGCTTGCTCCCGTTGTTCTCCTCCCATACTCCACGTGTGGGCAAGGGCGTGTGTGTGTGCATGTCGCTGTGAATGGCGAATGATATTTTCTGTTCTGTACTTGCCTGCAGGTGTAGAGGCCCCACTAGTCATGACTGCATTTACTATCCATGGACACGCCAGTCCACCTTACCTCAGCATGCTAGGTAACATCCTCCATCTTTCCATGTTGTACCTCAGGATCCTTCCCCGGTTATCACCCAAGAGTTGTACTAACCAGTCTGTTTAGAAATATGAATTAAATTGCGTAAAGTGTGTCATTGTTTATCCTCAACAGTGGGATATACAGCGCGGCCTATAGGTGGCTTTACAGTTGGAAAGTAAAGTTATCTACACCATCAATAGAATTGGTTGAAAAGTCCCCAGAGCTGTTGTGTATCACTTTTTTTTTCAATGTCAAATGTTTGACAACAAAAATGCTTAACTAAACACCGGGAAACGTTTAATTTAATTTAATGGAGATTTTCATTTCAGTCTGGTTTTTTAAAAGCCAAATTGAAAAAAAATGAATGGCAACAAAGTGATAAAAGAAACACGAAAGGTTCCTCAAAATTGAATTGTGTTCATTAAATGACCCAACATAGACAAAACTATTTTTCTTCCAAAAAATTATCTCAAAAATTGTTAACCAGCGCTAATCACTTAATTTTGAATTATAAAATGGCACTGGAAGTTGAGAAATCCAGCCTATGTTTGCACTGGGATTGTTTTAAAATGCATGCATGCCAAGCCAAATTTATGTAGAAAGAATGTACATGTTTGCATCTAATTAGCCCTCTGTGCTCATCTTTTGTTATATCCCATTCTTATCCTGTGGGTTTTTTTCCCATTGTATTTATTCCCCATTCAGACTGGTTAGTAGAGCTTCCATGCCCTCAGAGTGTAAAATCTGACTGAGAGTTTTTCCTTTCAGGCAACTTCACCTCATAAAGCAGTTAGCTGGCTCTCTTTGGTTTGTCTTCAACATTTCCTTACACTGGAACCAAAAGATTGTGAGGAAACATAAATGAGCCTAATGGTTTAAAATACATGTTTCTGTGCATCCAGGATACTTACTCAACATAAAGATCCTTATTTTTTAGTTGTTGACTGGCAGGGTTTCTACTGAGGGGAGAATAGACTTAAAAATACAACTAGAAATGCCAGCCAAATGTCTTTCTTCAATGATATAGGCAAGATGGGTTAATATTTGATCCAAAGCCCAACGCAGTTCATGAGAAGAGGCCCAGGTTTTCAAGAGTGACTAGCCATTGTGAGCACAGCAATTTTTAAAGGCACAGTGTAAGACTCTTTGTTTAAGACGCCCTTATTTTCAATCTCAGACTATGTACCCAACCTGGAAGTGCCCCAGATCACCAGTTACGTCTGCAAGCCTTGACTTTGTCAATTGCCCTGAGTTTTGGATCAAGCTCTTTAGCCCCGAGTGAGAAAAGCACTTCAGCACATGCTTAGCTTAAAGAACTTCAACAGAACTACATGTATAATCCAAGTTAAGGATGTGGATAAGTGCTTTGCATGATTGGGCCATTGGTCATTTTGAAAGGAATTATAATACATTGTGTTTTACAATGAGGATCGTATAAACCAAACAGTAAGAAAATGTTGTGTACTTTGTAGTGGAAATACTAGGAAGATGAGTCATAAGTCATGAAAATACCCCAGGCTTTGTATCCTGTGGTCTCCAGTATACATGTTTTAAATAAAGCTGCTTGATATTGTTAGCACAAGAGGGAGAGCGCACATCAGACTGTTTGTTGGTTAATTTAACTGACAAGAGTGTGAAGCTTAACTTTGCTTTCAGAAGATGGATTTATTGTCTAGATACTTATTTAAATCTCCAAGGGCACGGCCCAATGCACACTGAAGGCAATGGAAACACTCTCATTAATGTCATTGGCTGTGAGATCAGACCTTTAAATTTAGGTAGCGAAATGAGTAATGAAATGTGTGACACACAAGTTGGATGAGGTAATATCTTTTACTGACCTGACGTTTGTTGCTGAGAGAGATGGGGTGA